AGAGGGAGGGAGGGAGGGAGGAGGGGCTGATGGGAGGACTGGGTGTTACCTCTTTGTTTGCTCTCTGGAGAGGAGGAGATGAACCAGGATGTGGTTAGCTTAGCTTAGCATAAAGGCTGGAGGCAGAGGGAAACTGTTAGCCTGATAAAGTGAAACTGCTCACTGTGAGCATGTGCTGCTACATGCTAATGTCAGCGTGCTAACAGAAACAATGTGACTTTAAAGTTTCACTTTTCACTTTTAAATTAACTCAATAAAGTTTGTTTAAGTCTTTTAGTCTTTTTTAGAAACTTTCTTAGAAACATTAAAGTCAGTGTTTCAGTAAATGTTCACAGCGAGCCGAGATATTACATTAGAAACTTCTTTATTTTACTTCTTTAGAAAAACTTTTAGTGGAAAAACAATAATTCATTTAATATTTTCAGTTGCAACTATTTAACTTAATATATAATATATATAATATAATATAATATATATAATAACATATAACTTAATATAATATAATATATATAATAACATATAATATAATATATATAATAACATATAATATATATAATATAATATATATAATAACATATAATATATATAATATAATATATATAATAACATATAATATATATAATATAATATATATAATAACATATAATATAATATAATATATATAATAACATATAATATATATAACATAATATATAACATATAATATATATAATAACATATAATATATATAATATATATAATATAATATAACTTAATATAATATAATATAATATAATATATATAATATAATATAATATATATAATATATATAATATAATATATATAATAAATCTGCTCTCACACTCCTTTGACAAACCAGTAATTTTTTGAAATACAGATTTCTGTTTGTAGTTTTTCTCAAGAAAACTAAAATAATACAGTTACATGTAATCTGATTACAGTTACATGTAATCTGTTACTGAGCCTGTTGTTCCACCGACTCCTCCGGGAGAATCTGATAGAGGAGCAGAAACAGATCTGTTGACATGAAATACAGCCTCTATTTCATCACACACACACACACACACACACCACACACACACACACACACACACACACACACACACACACACACACACAGAGCCAGAAAAGCAGCTAACAGCATTACATCACTAATCCAATCACTGCCATTCACCTCGACCGGCCACTTTTCAATTCAAATGAATCTATTGAGATACAACGAGCCCATCCCCAACACACACACACACACACACACACACACACACACACACACACACACACACACACACACTCTAAGATGTAATCTGATACAGTTACTGATTACCTGTTGTAAAGTGTAGCCAGTAACTTAATCCAAGTATCACAATATTAAAGTAACTTAATTACTTTCCGTTACTCTTGGATGTATTTATTTCATATTCTATTGATCAGTATCAATAACAGCAGAGAACAGCTGATAAACTGATCAATAAAACCCAACCAGTGAACTCAGTAACTGATTGATTATTGTTGATATATTGATCACAGACGGGTTTTACATTTACAGGTAGTTACACCTTTAAAATCAAGAAGGCCTCGTGACCCCCTGTGGAGCTTTGGCGACCGTTAGTGGGGGCCCCGACCCTCGGGTTGGGAACCAGTGATTATTATTATTATTATATATTATTATTATTATTATTATTATATATTATTATTATTATTATTATATATTATTATTATTATATATTATTATATATTATTATTATTATTATTATTATTATTATTATATATTATTATTATTATTATTATAATATTATTATTATTATTATTATTATTATTATTATATATTATTATTATATATTATTATTATTATTATTATTATATATTATTATTATTATTATTATTATTATATTATTATTATTATTATTATCATTATTATTATTATATATTATTCAAACTTATTCACGCCTGGCTGCTAACGAGCTAACAAATGAGCTTTAAAACTGATTAAACTCTAAAAGTTATGTTCTGCTTCCTCTCGGTTCCTGTCGGTTCCTGTCGGTGCTGAAGGTCAAACAGAGACAGTCGAGCTTCAAACACATTAAACAAGAGTTTATTTATTTTACTGATAAACTTTATAACTTTACTTTACTTTATTTAAAACTTGATCAAAGGTCAGACACAGAAAATAAAGTTGACTCTTTCTGCATCGCGGCCTGAAAACGCAGCAGAGAGACTGTGATGTTATTTATTGGACTGTAACCATGGAGCCGTTGCCGAGGAACCAACCATCGCCAACAAAAGGGTGGATTCATCCATTCATCCAGCGGAGAGCAAGAGGAGGAGGAGGAGGAGGAGGAGGAGGAGAGGCATCCCCAAACTCAGCCTAGCAGCCGGAGAAAGGAGATCTGAGCTCTCTCAACACGGAGTTGACACAGTTGTTGTTGATGAAACTTTACACACTCCCTCCTCCTCCTCCTCCTCCTCCTCCTCCTCCTCCTCTTTCTCCATTGGAGCGTTGTCCGGACAGACAGGCAGTCACATGAAGCCAACACCTGTCGGCAGTGTGGGGGATGACGAGCACATGCTGCCTCACTGTTTCCCAACCTCCCAAAAAAACAAGCACATGTTCCTCTCTTCCCCGCGCTGCTTCCTGCTGAAGAGATGTGGGTGAAGTGGGAGCAGCAGCAGGAGGAGGAGGATGGCGGGGGGGGGGGGGAAGACAAGGAGGGAGGGAGAAAGGGAGGAGGGGGTGAAAAACCGGTTTCCCATAGTGACGGATGATTTGTAGGTAACAGTTGTTTGCCTTGCAGCCTGAGGCCGCCGCGCTCTGCTCACAGAGAGTGTGGAGGCTGTGGCGTTCCTCAGGGCACGGTGTCGAGGTTGTCCGCCCTCTGCGGGCCGCACAAAGGACGTTGCTCAAGAGCCGTGAGTGACAGTCAGAGGAGAAGCAGGAAGTGATGCTTTTTGTCTGCCATGTTTGTAGTTTCACACACGGAGTTATCAGACGCTGCTGGAGCTGCTACAACAACTCGCTGACGGGCCTTCACCTCCTTCACCTCCTTCACCTCCTTCACCTCCTTCATCACAAACACTGGTTCAGCACAGAGGTGAAATACTCTCTGACTGTTGCTGCTGCTGTGAGTTTCAGTAGCTGTATGGAGCCTCTGGGTACAGGACGACTGCTTGTTTACTACTGCTTGTTTACTACTGCTTGTTTACATCAGATGTCCTAGAAGAAGCAATAAAAACTGGGATATTCTTTACCTTCAGTACACACATGCAGCAGACTGTTGGTGTGTTCGATCCTCCGTATGTCTGCACCAACGTTTAAACACTGAACACCAACCAGAAGAAGAATAAATAAAGTTTTATTGACCAACAATAAACAGATGTTGATATATTGATACATTTAAATCAACAACAACAACTCCAACTTCCTCTTTTCTTTTTGTTCTGAACCCCTAGTGGCAGAAATCACTCACTGCGTGTTTAATACCTGCCGGGGGGGGGGGTTGTCCACAGGGGGGCGCCAGAACCAACGTTAAAAGTCCAGTGTCCTCACAAGTGTGTGTGAGTGTGTGTGTGTGAGTGTGTGTGTGTGTGAGTGTGTGTGTGTGTGTGTGTGTGTGTGTGTGAGTGTGTGTGTGAGTGTGTGTGTGTGTGTGTGTGTGTGTGTGTGTGTGTGTGTGTGTGTGTGTGTGTGTGTGTGTGTGTGTGTGTGTGTGTGTGTGTGTGTGTGTGTGTGTGTGTGTGTGTGTGTGTGTGTGTGTGTGTGTGTGTGTGTGTGTGTGTGTGTGTGAGTGTGTGTGTGAGTGTGTGTGTGTGTGTGTGTGTGTGTGTGTGTGTGTGTGTGAGTGTGTGTGTGTGTGTGTGTGAGTGTGTGTGTGTGTGTGTGTGTGTGTGAGTGTGTGAGTGTGTGTGTGTGTGTGTGTGTGTGTAACTGATTCGGTATCCGGACAGACCAGTTTTTTTGTGATGCTGATACATTATATACGTTTACCATGACAACGACTCATCTGTGGCTGTGGGGGGTGGGACACCGTTAGTAAACAAACAAACACACACACACACACACACACACACACACACACACACACACCCGTCAGGTCACTGTGACCTCTGACCTCTGAGTGTCTGAAGCTTCATTGAACCTTTAATAAAGAGACTGATCAATAATATCCAGTTAATGTATCAGGAACAAATTATGAATCATAAAATATTCACATTAAACTTTATTATTATTATTATTATTAACTTTATAAGATTTAATGTAAAGCCAGAAAACAATTCAATTACTTTAAATACCAGAAGAACAAATGTTCTCTTTGTTTGGTTTTATTTATCTTTATAAAACATTCATCATAATTAGTTTAATATAAAAATAATCAGCTCATTAAAGCAGAAAAACAACAATAATCAACTTAATCAATATTTGATTAAGATCATAAACAATATAAATAAAGTAAAAGTTCAAATTATTTCAACCACTTGAAAAACTTCTAACAAAAGTTACATTTGCAAAAGCTTAAATTAATAATTAGTTGAATGATTATAATGAATTTAATAATTATAATTAATTTAATAATCAGACTCTGCTCAGGTTGAGTTAAAGGCTGAAAAGGCTGCTGGCGCCCCCTAGTGCTGAGACTGTTCCACCACCTGCTTCATTACTGGTAATAATAATAATAATAATAATTATTATTATTATTATAAAGATAATAATAAATATTAATAATATTAATAAATGTTAACGTGTTATTATAAGTTAAGACGTTTTTATATTTTAGACATTATTAATAATTTATTAATAATTTATCTTATCAGGTTTTCTTTTGTACATTTTATTGTTGATTTATTTAAACTATTTCCTTATAATTTATATATTATTATCATTATACCTGTGACATTGATTGTATTGTACTGATGGACTGTTTATTGATCAGCTGATTGGTTTGTGCTACGAGGCTGTTGATCAGAGACTGAAGCTCTGTTAATACAACTGATATATAAACCTTTAATTTAATATTAGTATAATAAATAATATAAATATATAATAATAGCTCTACACTGCCCCCCTGTGGTGGAGGATAGGAAGATATTTATTTACCTGTAATCATTAAAGATAAAAACAATAATTATATCATCATTTATACTTGTAATGGAGTATTTCTACTCAAGTATCTTCCACATTAAAACATGTTTTAATAATTAAAATAATACAGTTAGAGGATTGTGTCATCAATGATTCTGATCAAAGTAATCAATAATCAATGACACATTCAGTGGTTTTCAATATGCTTTATTGTTATTCAAAGGTTCATTAATACAGATATTAAAGCCACAAAGCAAAGACATAATTACACATTTCCAGATTTAATATCCATGATGTGACTGTCAGCTCCTGATCGCTGTTTATTGATTGATTGATATTTCATTCAGACTCATTCTGACGCTGATTGAACTGATGTAGAAAGAAAATCCTTCATTTGTTTTGATTAGTTTCATTTTAGGAGGTTTAATTTGTTAATGGACAAAAGTATGTGGACGCAATCACATAAGGTTGCTACGTATACTTTTGTCCAAGTTTACGTGATTACAAACTTTAAACTGGATTAAAATCTAAAACAGCTGGAACCAGATGTTTTATGTTGCCTGTTTGCTCTTTGATTATTTGTTCTGATTGTTAAAAGTCGGTAGGTTGTGTTTAATTGTTTGTGTTCAATTAAAAAACTAGTGGAGTTTGATTGATTGTTTAATTTGTTAATGGACAAAAGTATGTGGACGCAGTTACATATGACTGGAATATATGTCTGTCCATATACTTTTGGCCAAGTTTACATGATTACAGCCAAACTTTAAACTGCTGTTTGTGTGTTATTATTTATGTTTCCAGTATTACAATAAAGAACTTATATATATATATAATATAAGTTCTTTATTGTCCTGTCTGATCACGCTGCGACCTTTGACCCTTCAGGTTCCTCTCTTAACTAAACAAACTCAATTTGTGTAAATGAAATTAAAAAAGAAAACAAATCATCAAAGAAGTTGTTTGTGCCGTTAGTTGGCTCCGCCCACTCTGTGATTGGTGGAAGCGTGGCGTAAATGGAAAGGGGGCGGGGTCACATCTCTGTGGACCAATCATCTCAGGCGCTGATGACGATGTCAGCCCTTCCCCACACCTGAAACCGGATCAATAACATAATAAAACTACTGGTTCTCATGTTCACAGTTATAGGATGTTGATATGTAGCAAACAACTGAAGACGTGTTTGTGGACGTTTTGCTGATATTCAGCAGGATCAGTGGCTGACTGCTGGTGAGCACATTCTACAGACCTCTGATACAGTAAGCACATTAGTAATCATGTAGCATGCTAAATGTCTTATTTGTAGATATTTTTGATGTTTGTTGGTGAGCTCTGAGTTAACAGTAACCTGTATGTACTATGCATATTAGCACAGAGGAAGTTACCTGGCGGAGGCTGATGCTGTCCAACACCGCAACGATACAACGGGGTCCATCCAGCCGAGGGAAGAACGACTCCTTCCAGGAGATCGAAGACAGAGGCTCAATGACGCTGAAACACAAAGAGAAATCCTCTGTCACAGTGTGACACACACCAGAGAGGGGGTGTGTGTGTGTGTGTGTGTGTGTGTGTGTGTGTGTGTGTGTGTGTGTGTACCTGTAGTAGCACGAGGTGTGTGTGTGTGTGTGTGTGTGTGTGTGTGTGTACCTGTAGTAGCGTGAGGTGTGTGTGTGTGCGTGTGTACCTGTAGTAGTGTGAGGGTGTGTGTGTGTGTGTGTGTGTGTGTGTGCGTGTGTGTGTGTGTGTGTGTACCTGTAGTAGCATGAGGTGTGTGTGTGTGTGTGTGTGTGTGTACCTGTAGTAGCGTGAGGTGTGTGTGTGTGCGTGTGTACCTGTAGTAGCGTGAGGTGTGTGTGTGTGTGTGTGTGTGTGTACCTGTAGTAGCGTGAGGTGTGTGTGTGTGTGTGTGTGTGTGTGTGTGTGTGTGTGTGTGTGTACCTGTAGTAGCGCGAGGTGTGTGTGTGTGTGTGTGTGTGTGTACCTGTAGTAGCGTGAGGTGTGTGTGTGTGCGTGTGTACCTGTAGTAGTGTGAGGTGTGTGTGTGTGTACCTGTCGTAGCGTGAGGTGTGTGTGTGTACCTGTAGTAGCGTGAGGTGTGTGTGTGTGTGTACCTGTAGTAGCGTGAGGTGTGTGTGTGTGTGTACCTGTAGTAGCGTGAGGTGTGTGTGTGTGTGTGTGTGTGTGTGTGTGTGTGTACCTGTAGTAGCGTGAGGTGTGTGTGTGTGTGTGTGTGTGTGTGTACCTGTAGTAGCGTGTCCTGTGGGTTACGAGTCCAGCTCCTTCCATGGCCAGGTGAACGCCCTGCAGGGGGAAGTTGAAGGGGTTGGTGAAGGAAACGGTCACAATCATCTCCTGCTGCACCTGAGGCTGGCCGCTCACCTACAGAACAACAACAACAACAACAACAACGAGTTGCAGTAAATGGCTGTGAACATTACGGCCCGTACAGATGCTTTTATTGTGTGTGTGTTTTACCATCAGGGTGAGGCTAGGGGTCTGCATTTCGATCACTTTGATGGCGGACACTGATTGGTCGTCAGCCTGTCCAGTCACAATGAACTGCAGGGAGAGCTGAGAGCCCAGGTGAGGCATGTACTCCTGAGCGGGGATCCTAAACATCACACGCTCGGCTGCACACACACACACACACACACACACACACACACACACACACACACACATCCTTGTGTTACTATATTTGTGGGGACCCTAACCCTGCAATCGACCCGTTCCCGCTGATGTCGCTCACTCTGATTGGCTGCCACGGTGACAGTGAAGTTCTGATCTCTGAAGCTTTTGGATATGACTCCGGTGTAGAAGACGACAGAGCCGGCCAGGTGAGCTTGGACCGTGGTGGAGTGTTCAGTCTGGTTCTGGAAATCCACTGCCAGGTTCACATCGTGACCCAGACTGACCTAGACAGGAAAAATACAAATATTTAAAGAATATTCTGGAGAAAATGAAAAGAAAACATTTGAATATTCACAGATTGTGTAATTTTTGTAAAATGAGTAAATTACTTTTAAAGGATTTAAAGTTGTAATTAGGTTTTTTTTGTTGCAGGTTATTTGTATAAATGTGTTAATATATGTCTTTAGTTACAAAATGTCATATTTTATTACCTCTTCACATGTTTTGTGTGTCAAAACCTAAATGAAGTGTATGTGGTTATTTACTGGTGTTAAAATATGGACATTAAGTATTTTAATTCTACATATTGAGCTACAGCGAGTGCCCTCTACTGGTTGGAACTGGTTATTGCGATTGAATGTTGCTACTGGCTGATCTGGAGTCAGCTGACGTCACCAACCAACCACTGCTGCTAGAAAACCACCGTCTCAGCCTCTCTTCGTTAGCCTCTAGCTTAGCTAAGGTTACAACACAGGCACCTTTACAAACGGCCGTGAATGTGCTTCTAGTGACTGTAAAGGCTCCTGCGGACTCACAAGAGCTTTCATGGCTGGTTAGCTCTGTTAGCTCGGAGCTGCTGCTTTAGCAAACGGAGCTTGAGAGAGTTACCTCCCACGCCACACACTTGACTGAAGCTAGCAGAACTTATGATATTCAGGTGCTGAGAGACAGATGTGTGGACAGATGTGTCACCAGTCCAGCCGTGATGGTGACAGTCAGCTGGGTATCAGGTAGCTCAGAGTGATCCCTCTCACAGCCGTACTCCTCCGCCCGAGCCATAGTCCTGTTGTCGTCTGCGCTACCTGGAGACAGAAACCAGTTCAGTACACATTCAGGTTACTGCTGTGTGTGTGTGTGTGTGTGTGTGTGTGTGTGTGTGTGTGTGTGTGTTACCTTCAGGGTACTTGTAGGTGTGCGTGATGTCCATAGGTGCTGGGCTGCCTACAGCCTGGGTGTAAATACCCTGTCCAACATGAGTCTTATCCACCCGATATGGACTCAGAGTCCCGTAGCGATCCCGCTTGTGGAAGACCACGTCACTGTTCACCTGCAGGGACGTTCAGAGTATTTATACTAGTTTTAAGAATTGTAGTTTACCCCACTCGCAGATTTTCTTTACTTATCTTTATACTTTACTGTATTGAAGAATATTTGGATTGTTTCTAGAAGGTGTGTGTTATCGCTACTAAGATCTGAGTCCTTCCTCAACCTGTGTTTGTCTTTTTAAAAATCGTCGAACCAAACCTCAGCGAAGACGAATCCAGAGTCAAACGGGTGGCAGAGCAGACCCTCCTTGATGGCGGTGACCGAGGCCGGACCACAGCGAAAATGTCCTGAAAAACCAGACACACGTTAGTATCTGTCGACCTGGTCTGGGAATCATTGGCTAATCCATAATTAACTTTAAACAGATGTTAAAAAAGATAAAATCAATTCCTTTTATCATTATTCCCCTTTTATGAGAAAATATGAGAAATCCAAATAGAAAAGAGGGTCAGATTTTGGTTTTCATTTTCATTTCTCATTTGGGAAAGACAGCAGAGCGGAGGACAGACAGGAAGCGGTGTAAACATTTCAAAATAATAGCACAACATCCACCTCTTTTGAATTTGACACCAAAAACACACATCTGTTTATAGTTCTTAAGTTTCCTTTCGAAATGACAAATTCCTGATTATCCAATGATACCCCGACCCCGCCTGTACCATACTGATCTGTCTGTCTGTCTGCCTGTCTCTCCTACCGTCACTGGTCTCCTGGGGCGTGGCGTCCACCACCTGCCACCCCGAGAGGCCGGCCGGCAGGTCAGGACGCACAATGAACACCTCGTTCCAGCAGTGGTAGTTCCTGCAGATTGAGACAAACAAACACTGGTTCTACAGTTTTTACTGATTAATAATAACGTTTTGTAATATTTGTAATTGTAATATATTTTAATATAGAGTTGTTTTACTCCACTACAGTTCATTTAGTAGTTAGATAGTAATGTATGATGTGTTATTATAAGGTTTTATTTATCCTCCACACTATATTGTTACTTTCACTTTTATCTTCCATCACTTAAACTTAGAAGTCCAACATTTATCTATTTGCTATCTTTTAGCAGGACACTGAAGTCAGCCACTCTGTTTTAGGAAAAAAAATACTACATTCATTCATAGCCCATTTAATAGTTATTTTAGCAGATAAAATGACAAAAAAAACACCTTAAACACCAGTGTGTACATGTAAAAAAACCAACCAGATGGAGTCCCTGGTGTTGCGTCTGTCCGGCGTGCCGTCCGTCTTGAAGATTAGGTCAGTCTTCAGGTTGCCCGTGTTGTCGTGAGCTGAATTGAAGTTGGTGATGACCCTCGACGGGATGCCGAGGCAGCGGAGGACTGCACAAAATACTTCAGTTACTAACATCAAATATTTGAGTCTGGATCATATCGTTCCCTCAGCTGTTTCACTTTCTGGCCCTTTAAGCAAACACACTTTAAATCCTATTTTTTACTTTTACTCTGCTACATTTATTTAGCAGCTGTGTTACTTTTCATAAGATTTGCATCTTCTTGTGGTCATTTTAATGACACTTTACATCTCTGTAGTTGTTTTCTGTGTCTTTCTGGAAGCCCTGACCTGACACCCGCCTTCTCCACGCTAACACTCTTACAGGTGTTGAAGACTCCAGCGAACACCCAGCACTGGGCGAAGCAAATGGAGACTCCGGTATTGGCGTACTGCAGCAGGATCTTGACGCTCCCCGTCCAAGATGTCGGCGGCATGCCCATGGAGTAGTCGTCGCTCCAGTTCCCAACCAACACGCCGTTGTCGTCCTGAGAGTTAATCTTAGGGAAGAGGGAGGTCAAAGGTCAGTGACACTCTGAGACTGAGATGTTAATTTCACAGCAGGTTTTTAACGTCCGTATTCTCACCATAGCAGATCCTTTCCTGACCAGTTGGATGATGTTGCCTCGGTTGTAGATCGGCATCCGAGACGCATCCAGGATGTAAATACAGGCGTCCAAGACCCCGCGCTCAAACTGCAGGGACATTTACCGTTAGTAATGAGTCCATCCGTTATGATTCCTTCTGCTGCGTTTCGGTATGTGTGTATTTTTGTGTACCTGTCCATACATCCAGTTGCGCTGTGACATAGCTGAAACTGTACCCTGAAAGATCACGCCGTAGTCGCTCATGACGTACTCCCTGCGTGCCGCTTCATCAGCAAGAAACACAGCGTCTTCTGCAAAGAGACAGACACAAGAAACAATGAGGTCATTAAAAGTCTCTGAAACATTAACGGAGAAGCACATTGTTCACTTGATGAGATTACATCCAGAGTCAAGCTGAAGAGTTTTGTGTTGCCCGTTACGCAATGACGCGAAATGAAAAAGTTTTCAATACGCAGTGAAAAAACAAATTTACCATTTTCGCAAAGTTTCTCCTCTCTCAGCAACTCTCAAAAGGGAGTCTGGTGAAATCAGTTTAAAGGAAGTGCGTTCAACAGCTGCTGCTTATACCGTAACTTAAATATTAATAATAAGAAGAATCAAATATAAATGGGATTAGACGGCAGTGAAAGGCCAATAGAGGAGTTCGTACGTGGACACCAGGCGTTGAACAGCAGGTACAGGTCGGTGTTGGCGTCCCTGCTGGTTCGCTGCATGCCGCCGCTTGTAACGATGGCCACGTAGGTACGAAACTTCCCCACGATGGCATCGGCCGTCGGTGTGATGCCCAGCAGCACCGATTCACCCTGAGCTTCCACGATCTGGCCAGACCACGGACCGCCATGACGGGAACCGAAGGTCACCGCCACCAGAGTGCCCTTACTGGGAGAGGGGTTGGAACCTGGAGGAGGAAGAGGAGGAGGAAGAGGAGGAGAGAGTTAATAATGTAATAATGTTAATTAAAAATCTGAGCGAGTGAACATCTGTCAGACAGCAGCTGTGTGTGTGTGCGTGTGTGTGTGTGTGTTTATCTAATGACCATTAGATGGCCATGGGGAGTGTGTGAGCTAATTAGCCAGCTGAATGAATGTGACGCTGCCTAATGAACTGACAGTCGTCTAATTGTTGGGTAGACAAACATCTATTCATCAGCTAATTGGTTAACGAGGGAGCTTTAACTGTTGGTCTCAGGTGGGGCCGAGCGGCAGCCACTGAGCGCGCTCCGTAACAGAAACCACACCCCCCCAGTTGTCCCAGTTTACTGGGAAAATGAGAATTAAATGAGACCAGAGTGAGAAAAAAGAAGAGATTATTAATTACAGTAGATAATCTTTTTATTGTTTTGGGCAACTGGATGACAATATCAATACACATTACAGTAACGGGGCCCTTTATAGCTTCTTCTTTTAGTTTCACTGAGCAAACCTGAAGAAGCTGCAGGTGAAGCTTTCTAAGTGTTCTGCTAGCTCCTCCCTCTGAGCTAATGGGCTAACAGAGCTAATGAGCAGCTGCTGTCAGACTCTCAGTGTCCGCTGGAGCTTCGACAGTCACTAGAAGCACATTCACGCTGTCTGTAAAGGATTCTGTGAGCTACCTGTTTGTAGCTGAGCTAGCCGCTGTGTTGTCCACTCTGTGTCAGCACTGGACTCACAAGGTTCAGGCTGATTTACAACAGTAGATGGCGAGTTGAGACATTTTCAACCCACAAAACTTTCATACATTATATAAAGTGAATATTACCAGCAGCATTGATGTGTTTCATCGTTCATATAATTCAGTTTATAGCTTCAGGACTTCTTTAATGAGATTAAAACAGATTTTTTGGTTTCCAAAACTTTTTCAAGTTTTTCTAAAGGAGAAAAGTAAATTAACTTTAATAATTATTAGTTTATTTATTTTGTTTCCAAAAAAATAGTGATGGAGACCTAACCCTAACCTTGAAGTTATGATTTTTTTCTCTTTTCTCTTTCACAGTGTCTCTTTAAATGAAATCCAACTGACTGAACCAAGCTCAAATTCAACCACACAGAGATTTGACTGAAACCAGACTGAAAGTTCAAACTCTCCAGTCAGAAACTCTCAGAATCCCGACCAATGGGATGTGAGATCAGAATTCAAACTCACCAATCAGGAACTCGAGCTGGAAGTCGTCTGCTTCGGCCAGCGGGCGGCTGAAGGTGACTCGCACGACGAACTCCTGACCACGGCGGACCACCAGGTTTTGGATGTCGTAGGCGGTGGTGTAGTGGTTTGGTTTGTTTAACTGCTGACACATGTCGACATGCTGCACCGACAGAGCCGCTGAGACGGAGAGAGCGCCATGTTTTTATGTTATTGATCTCTAATCTGAAAGTGTTTGATAAATAAAGTAATAAATTAAACCGATCTTACCGCCCACAGGTGCGAATGATCTTGGCGTGGCGTCTTCATCAAAAGGCTCAAATTCTGGGAAATCATTTTCATCGTTCTGAAGGTTGGAAGTCGGCACCTAAAGATCATTAAAAGATATTAAAACCTCTGTATGTGCATATTTACTAGTGTTGTCAGCCTCTCTGAGCAGCTAGCTTAGCTAACGTTACAATACAGGAAGCACAGAAACTTTTACAAACAGCATGAATGTGCTTCTAGTGACTGTCGAAGCTCCAGTGGACAAGTACAACGCTGAGACTTAAATGTTGTAGATGTAATGTAGAAACAGATAAAAAGAGCACGTGATAAAGGAGAAATCAGAGGAATGTTTTTGTTAGTGATACCTACCGGCTCGCTGTAGCGCCCTTTGTAGTTGTTTGTTTCTTTGGACATGATGGTCGATAAGTCAGAGGTTACACTGCGGTTGCTGGACAGAGAGAGGAGAAATATTTACACTTTCTAACATCCGGATCTCGAGGAATATTCATGGTTCCTGATTTAAAACGCTGAATTTATCACAAAAGAATCCTATTAAGTCTGAATGGTTGTTAAAGAAATGTAAAAAATACACACAAAGTTCCCTAAAACGATCAGGAAAACTCGTTTGTGATCAATATTAACAGGTATTAACATGTAACAGGTATTAACAGGAAATAATCTGCTCAAAAGTTATTTTGGGTTCTTTGTTCAGTTTATCAGCTGTTCTCTACTGTTATTGTTATACATTAAATATAATATAACATAAACATAAAATAAATTTACTCAATGACCGGTGATTTAATGGGTGGCAGAAATATATGCTGAATTAGTTATTCATTTATTTTAATTTATTTATTATTTATTTATTTGCCAAGGACACTGCACATTAATTGTATTTCAAAGAAATGTTCAGAAAACTCATTAAAGGTTGCGTTGAAATGGTGAATATTATAATAATTAATATTATTAATAATGTTTTATTATAGAAATATTGAAGAATATTATAACAATATAAACAACCATATTAAATAATGTAACTCTACTGAATATAAGATGATATGTTTTATAATATATATATTATATAATATAAAATAATATAAAGAGAAACAATAGAGCAACAACATTGTGACACACAACTGCGTCTTTTTAATAAATTGCAAATTAATTTTATAAACTTATTCTAGTAAAATTATTTCAGGAATTATGTTTTTTAAATTAACTTTTTTTTTTTTAATCTCATGTGTACCTTACACTGTAAAAAAGAAAAGTTGAGAAAACGTTTGCAGACGTATAATCTTCTGTTGAGAAATTATTTATTTTTTTAAATATTAGTTTTAACAATTGTTTCCCCCCAAAACTTACAAACAATTATTATTAGTTTATTTAAAACATAAGAGTTGCTTAAAACTCGCAAATTTAATCAAGACAGTTGCCTTTAAATTATGAGTTTTCATTTTAATTTTTTCTTTTTTTACTGTGTATTTACAAAACATTGAAGCACTGGACAGTTTTCTGTCTTTAAGACTATAAATAAACATATTAAATAAAATCACCTGAAAGTGAACGGCACTGTTTGAGCTGCGTTTAACTCATAAATACAATATGAGGTTAAAAAGGTTGTGAACCACTCACATACAATTTAATATTTAACATTTAGTCCGTATACATTTATATATTTGACATATTTTATAAGAATTATTTACATATTTTGTAAGAAAATGACCTGATGTTTGGTAAATGTTATGAAATAATCTGCTGTAGTTCACATTTAGAATTCCTAATAGAACAAATAAATTGATTTATTAGTAAATTTCAGATTACATGTGCAGCTGAAAATAAATATACAGACTTTAAGTATTAAGTGTGTTTGACTCACCGCTCAGATGATGGAGGAGGTTCGTCTGTCCAGACTTTAGAGATCCGATCAGCTTCGGTTTATATCCACACACTGCTTCCTCTTTTCACTCACAACAGGAAGTGTGTGTGACCTCGACCCGATCAGCTCGACCGGTTACTGATGACCGCTATAAAAACCCTCTAATGATCCTCTGGAGACAGTCCATTAAATAAGTGTGACAGCAATTGATGTAGGATACCGTACATTAGCTAGTTAACTAGTTTAACATTAGCTAACTTAAGAGGTGACTATATATAAATATATATATATATATATATATATATATATATATATAGAGTCACTTTTATCTTTTAACCATCTTTAAAATGTGGTTGTCTTTCCAACTTTAGCCTAGCATATAGCATATCTAAGTAGAGGAAGTTGATAGAAGCTTGCTCAGCTGTTATTGGAGCACAGAGTCACATCTGACGTTAGCTAATGTTAGCAAAACATTAGGAATCCACCAGCTAATCGTTAGCTAGCCAGCTAGTTTATGTTTTGCAAAATTATCTAATGTTTTGCTAACATTAGCTAACTTAAGATGTGACTACCGTAAAACTTCTAATAATAGCCCGGGCGTTTATTTGCTTTAATCACTGAACTCCCCCTGCTTCTATTGGGGACAGGCCTTTATTGGGGACAGGCCTTTATTGGGGACAGGCCTCTATTGGGGACAGGCCTCTATTTGGGAGAGGCCTCTATTTGGGACAGGCCTCTATTGGGGACAGACCTTTATTGGGGACAGGCCTTTATTGGGGACAGACCTTTATTGGGGACAGGCCTTTATTGGGGACAGGCCTTTATTGGGGACAGGCCTTTATTTGGGACAGGCCTTTATTTGGGACAGGCCTCTATTTGGGACAGGCCTTTAATTCCTTTAGCACAAAACTAAACTAAACTCTAACTGCTGCTTCTCTTGAGAATTTGTTCCACTAACATGATGATTATGATGCTTCAGAGGTTGTTTACTGTGCAACCGGTGAGTCAGAATAAATTAATGTTAAACTTTGTTGTTGATCGTTTTAGTAAAATCTATTGAACGATTGAATTGTGGAGAATCTATAACTGATCTAATGACGTTCATTATGTTCATACTGACAGAAGGTTAAACATTTATATTTGTGTAGGAGATTGAAACGACCCGGTGGGTTTTAAGAGGTTTTATACATCGAGATCATTTCTATAAAATCCAGACCAGGCCTCTATTGGAGACCTGTGTTTATTTGTTAAAACGTGTAGCCACACCAGGCTTTTAAAAGAGACCTGCGTCTATTAGGGACCCTGCTTTTATTGGAAGTTAGATATATATGTGTAACTTTTGTCTTTAAACCATTTCCATCATAGATTAGCCTAGCACGTAGCATATCTAAGTACAGGAAATAAGGAAGTTGACCGAGGCTAGCTCAACTGTTAATGGAGCCGCTAATGTTAGCAAAACATTACGAATCTAGCTAACTAATTTACATAATCGTTAGCTAGCTGGTTAGCTAATGTTTTACTAACTTAAGAAGTGGGTATATGTCACTTTTATCTTTTAACCATCTTCAAAATGTGGTTGTCTTTAACAAGACGTAGCACGTAGCACGTAGCATATCTCACTTATCTCTGTCATCCCCACAGAGTTAGCCGTAGTTAGCAATAGCTGATAATAGCACATTCGGAGCACTGTGTGTACGACTGATTTAATGAAACACATCAGTGTTATATACATTATAATAAACCATCTTCCTGAGGTTCTTCAGACTTTCCAAGTTGGACATTTTCCTTCAGGCTGCGTTCAGGTGAAGCTTCGCTCTGGAATCTGGAGACAAAGTTAAAGTGGGGTAAAACCTGATGATACTTCGTCATTTAAAGCTCCTTCCAGTTATTTTGGCATGTAAACAACAATTGATTCAATAAAACCAAACATGGCGTCTCTCCTCTGCTGCGACATCTAATCAGTCACCAGACGACACGATGAAATATAAGAAGTGTTTTTTCTTTATTTTCTGGGCTGAGAGCCAAACCAAAGTCTTCAGGTTTCAGACTGCTTCGTCCCCCCGAGGACGAGTCACCGTCTCTCACCTCCTTTAATCTGTCTGACTCATCAGGACCGACTGAGGGCTATTATGGTCTGTCAGCAGATCTGCTCAGTGTGACGGGAAAATGTAAAACAGCAGGACAGAAAAAGAGGAAAAGTAAAGACATTGTCTGTGTGATGTCTTTCTACTGTCCACTAACACAAACACGGACAAAAACTGCTTTAATCAGGGTTTTTAGTGTTTTTAAATCAGTAATAAAAGTTGAATCTGACCTCTGCAGGTCAGCTTCTCTTTAAGACAGAAGAGGAAGTGAGAGCGGAGGTCACGCTGCTCCTCACACACTAAACACACTGACATTTTATTGCTGCATTAACAACTTTATGAAATACATCAACACTGTCGTCCCCACAATAAAGGATTTATAAATCAATTATTTAATTAAGAATATATATTTAAAGTCATTCTAACCTTTTAAGATCACATCCTCGGTTATATTGATCCCCTATTTAACAACGTATGTTATCTTCACAAACGGCAGAGCTCACGGATTACTGTACAAACTTTATTATTATAAAGCTCTCTGTTTATTATAAAGCTCACTTCTAAGATCACCATCAGTACAAGCAGCCAAGAGACGAAGGTCAAAGGTCAGAGTCATTCAGAGCGCACTCCTCCTCCTGGTATTCAGTTATTCTCCTTCCGTCTGAACCTGAGAGACGTCCTCAGAGGTTTGGTCCAGAAATGAGCCGAGCGTCTCAGAGCAGCAGAACAAACGGCTGCTCGCCACCACGGGAGAACGAGTCAATACCCAGCAGTGAGTCATCGCCGCTGCCGCCGCCAGGCCGCAAAGCAATTACAGCCTCAACGGGCGCTTTGTTCCGAGGCAGCCCTGTAATTATCCTGCAGGGATCAGCAAACCCTCCTGAACACAACGCCACGGCTAATTGATAAATAAGAGACGGCGGCGGTGGCGGCGGCTTGATGTTCTCACACTCTGTGATCTTCATCAATCAGCTGTCAGGCAGCAAAAATAAGATAAATGAGTTTTATGTGACGTGTTCTCGTGCTACAAATAAAGGCTTTACATTCAATGTGTGCATCCTTTCTCTGTGTTCTCCAGGTACTGAACTACAGTGACGCACTGCCAGGTGCCTTGCTCAAGGGCACCTGGCAGTGAACAGGAGGTGGAACTGGCACCTCTCCAGCTACCAGTCCTGCCTCGAACCAGCGACCCTCTGGTTCCCAATCCAGCTCCCTACAGACGGAGCTGGACCTGATCTTACAGAGGTTTATTTCTATAGTTTTTATCTGGTTGGAATTCTCTTTAAATTGATGATTTTATAACTTGTGTTTTAATTTTTCTAATATATATATTTTATAAAATGCTTTACATCCAAAATACAATGACAGAAAACAACCAAACAGACCTCCAGTCTTCAGCCTGGACTGTGGATCCAGCTAAAGGACCTTTATGAGGATCTCAGGTTGCGTTCAGGCTCATAAAGAGTTAAAAGCAGGAGTTGGACTGTTTCAGCAGCGTTCTGAATCAGATCCTCCAGACTATAAATAAGATAAACTGAATAAATCAGAATAAAAACGAGAGGTGGAAGAAGAACAGCCTCCAGTTCTGCTTCCTGTCAGTCCGAGAGGAGGCAGAACCGCTCAGAGTCCACAAGTTGCCGCCCTGGTGGGCTCCCCGGGCTGTACCGGAGGAGGGCGCTTTGTGTTCTGTGTGTAAATAAATGCAGAATGATATAAATTAAATTACAGACAAACATGTGTTTTATTATTATTTTTTAATTCAGGAGAAGAAGATTTGTACTTCATTACAAGGCTGTTACATGGTGTGAACTACAGCTCGGCTCCTCTTTATAACACCAGACCCTGAACACAAGAAATTCTGGGATGTCTCTAAAATATTGATTGATTATTAGCTCCTCCAGGATTTGGTTTATTTTGGGATTATTGTGACTTCATGGCAGCCTTTCTAGAAAACTGCAATTCATGTTGATGGTGTTTCTAATCCTTTCTTTGCAATGAAAGTGTGGGAGAAGGCTTATATATAGTATAGTTTATATATAGAATAAAATCAGGTAAATGTGATATATATATATATATATATATATATATATATATAATATAAGATATAAAATATAAAATATAACTTTATATGCTGCTGGGTAGGTTGTCAGTTTCCCTTTAAGGATCATTAAAGTCTTACTGACATAATAACAGTATCATATTTAGTTATATTTTATGAAAAGTAAAAATGATGGAATAATACCTGAGTACTTCAACACTGTACTCAGATACAGTAATTGAGTAAATGTACTTAGTTACTTTCAAGCACTTGTTAAAAAGTAAAAGCTGGAGATGAGCTGTAGCTGCTGTTACATGTTTCAAACACCAGAGGGCGCCAGTGACTGAGAAAACTAATGGAGGCAGCGAAAGATGCTGCAGCCACACACACACACACACACACACACACACACACACACACACACACACACACACACACACACATACACACACACACACACACACACACACACACACACACACATACACACACACACATACACACACACACACACACACACACACACACACACACACACACACACACACATACACACACACACACACACACACACACACACACACACACACACACACACACACACACACACACACACACACACACACACACACACACACACACAGCCCCATTGAAGAATTGGCCGCGGTGACGTCGGCCCTCCTTCCTCTTCATCCTGCTGGCTGACGTCACTGATGCTCCTCTCTGCAGATCAATAGATCAATAATAGATCAATAGCTCAATAATAGATCAATAGATCAATAATAGATCAATAGTTATTTTGTGTCTTTATGGTCGAAGCTTTAATGGAGGAGACGAGGTTTTACTGTCATAACTTCTCTAAATGATCTGATGCTGAAGCTAAAGTGAAACTCTGAGGAGGATCTATTGAGCCACTGGAATATCTACAGTAGCCCAGAGAGGACAAAACAAACCATGTGTTATTATGTCTCTGTCTGGTTCCAGCTCCTCAAATGTGAATATTTAATGTTTTCTTTAGTCGTCAGTGATTGTAAATGTTGTTTAATTTCACTTTAAGCCGTACAAAACTGTGGTGATCATTTTTAAAAGATGTAGAAAACTTCCCTTCGACAAACAACCAAATATTCTTAAATATAATCAAATAAATCTTTTATTTTAAACAAGTTGTTCTTGTTACAATCAATGAAAACTCAGTTATTTAAGATTCTTAAAATAATAATAATAAATAAGTATTTTGGTCTCTTTATTCAGCTGAATTTAAGGATTTGTACCTTTGACCCAGGAAGTCGCCGTCAGTGAAACCAAAAGTAAAAGTTAATTTAAGTGACGTATGTAACTAAACTTTTGTGCTTTAAAGGCGACGACCGCACAAGCTTTATTTTGAAAGTCTAACTGGATGCTCCATATTTATTTATTGTTTCTATCCTGAAAACATTAGTGAAAGTTTGGGGGGGGGGGATCTGTTTCTTCATCGTCATGGTTACTGATGTATGATCTATGTGTCACTAATGTCACACACTTATAATAATAATAATAATAATAATAATAATACTTTTATTTAACAAAGTGATTTTACAAGGTAAAAACAACAAACACAGTAAGAACCAACATCAGTAACAATATATAGAATAAACAACAAATAAAGCAACATATAAAAAAGGTAAAACAATAGATTATTAATTATTAACTCATTAAATATATTATTGATTATTAGTAGAACAAAGATCAGCTGCAGTTCCTGCCGACCACCAGCAGGGGTCACTGATGTCAACAAACCCTTTCTAAAGGACAGCGGCGAGTCCGTCTCTGATTGGACGAGAGAGTGTGAAGGTCAAACTCAAAGTCAAACACACACATACTGACACACACACACACACACACACAGGTCGTTTTGTGTGTGTCGGTTAAATGTTTTCAGATTTGAGTCACTTGGAGATCTCAATTACTGTGTGTGTGTGTGTGTGTGTGTGTGTGTGTGTCAGTATGTGTGTCAGTATGTGTGTGTGTGTGTGTGTGTGTGTGTGTCAGTATGTGTGTCACTATGTGTGTGTGTTCTGCATCGCCTCGGGGAAACATCTGTGTTAATATGCAGGAGAGAGTTGGTTTGTTTCAGATTCAGCTGACATCAGCAGGAGAGGACGAGATCCCCCCACACACACATACAGACACACACACACACACACACACACACACACACACACACACACACACACACACTCACACTGACACACACACATACTGACACACACACACACACACACACACTCACACACACACTGACACACACTCACACACACACTCACACACACACACACACACACACACACACACACACACACACACACTGACACACACACTGACACACACACACACACACACACACACAGATCTATAACATTATTCGATCCTCTTCAGCTCCTCAACGTGCAGCTTCCTCTCACATTCTTGCTGAAATAAATAAATTAATAAACCAATCAATCAATCAATTAATTGAATAATTAATTGATTGATTGATATTCATACTGAACATCTGGCTCATCGGTGTGTCTTCATTATTCCTACAGACAGAAGACCTTTAACATTCAATGTGTTATTATTATATATTACATATACAATAAATCAGATTTCAGAAGCTGCTGATACAGTGTGTATGTAGAGTATTGATTCATTATTATTATTATTATTATTATTCTGTCAACAATACTGTATTTATTGATTATTGATTACACTCAACGACTGTAGCAGACATTTAGTTATTCTAATGTGCTCAGACTCTTATTATATATATATTTATATTATATATTATTGTTAGATATTGTAATATAATACATTAACGTTATTATTATTATTATTATTATTATTATTATTATTTCTATTTCTTTAATGTTGTGTGATATTAATAATAATAAAAGAAGAATATTTCCCTCTGAAATATAAACTGCAGTAAAAGTGATTTATTGGTTATTATTAATCAATAATGATTCAATCTGTTTGTGTTTCCTCCCAGAATGCAACAGGAGAACCTGCCGGAGGACTTTATACTGGATTTATACTCTCAGCAGGAACCAGAACCACAGGATCCTCTGAGGTCAAAGGTCAGTCACACAGTGGTTCTCAACCTGAGGGACGGGGCCTCCACTAGGGGTCGCCAAAGCTTCACAGGGGGACCGAGAGGCCTTCTGGACGGGAAGCAAACTGAAAGTTGTCCACAACCGGCCGATAATCAGCATTTTATTATTTCTGTGAATGAAAGTGTTTGTTTAAGGTTTATATATCGGTTGTATTGACAGAGCTTCAGTCTCTGATCAACAGCCTCGTCCTGCAGCACAAACCAATCAGCTGATCAATAAACAGTCCATCTGTCAGAACAGAACAATATTAAGTCTGTAGATTTTATGGTGAAAAACTGTCAAACTATCAAAGTAAAAGACCGTAAACTCTCTATTTAAATAGGTTAAATACGGTTTCTGTAACTCTTATTAAAGCAGCATTTTAAATGAATTTATACAGAATAATGTTTTATATTATTGATTACAGTAAAGTTCTGGTTAACAGGTCTCCTTTACTAGCCTGGTGTCTCTATTAGAGGCCTGTTCCAAATAAAGGCAGTTCACACTGTAAAAAATGTTGGTAGATTTTACTGTAACAGTAAAACCTTTTTATTTATACAGCATTTTAAAATCATTTATAAAGAATAAAGTCATTTTATTACATTACAGACTGTAAATCCGTCATATTCTCATACAAAAACCTTTTTCATGTGGCAAAAACGTATAAGCTAAAATATGGAATTAAACTCCAACTTTAACTGTAAAATCAACAGTAATAGAATAATAACAATTGTATATTGTATTTATAACAGTAAAGCTGCCAGTTGTTTCTTTTGATGGTAAAAACGTTTGTTTATACGGTAAAATACGGACTAAAACTCAATAATATCCTTTAACCGTAATAGCAGATTGTAAGTAATAGTAACAGTATTTATTATATATATTTATATTACAGTGTAGTGATTGAAGCTAATAAAAGAATAAAAATAAACATTTTAAATGAAGTGAATATTTCTCTTCTCCAAAAACGTTGCAACTCATTAAAAAAATCTGCCGTGAATATTGTTTGTTTTAATTCTTTATATATATATTTATATATTTAAATTGATATTCTTTATTCATCCATTCTCTTATAATTTATATTTTGTTTTTAAAACTGAAATAAATTCATAATGAAATCCTAAAAACGAGAAAAGGAAGGACTGGTTCCATTCAGCTACACTAAATGGAACTGAGCCTCAATTAGTCTCATTGGTAACATCTGGTTTTACCCAACTGCTGCTGTGAAAAAGGTCTCTTATAAATGATATTCTATATTCAACAGGAGCCAGAAAACAAAGGGAACATAGAATAAAAATGAATGAAGGACAAAAAAGGATGTGAGGAAATCATGGCAACCAGAGGGAGGAGAGGGAGGAAGAGAAGGAGGGAGGAGAGAGAGGAGGAGAGGAGGAGGAGAGGGAGGAGAGGAGGGGCTTTCTCTCTCTCCTCTTTTTTCTCTCCAGACGCGTAAAACAGGCAGGAAGCGCAGAGCGACGGAGAGCTCGACCAGAGGAGGAAGAGGAGCAGCACGCAGAGGAAAAAAGAGCAGAGCAAGAAAAAGAGAGGAAGAAGAGGCAGGAGGAAGAGGAGGAGGAGGAGGAAGAGAGTGTTGGATGTAGCCGTTGTTGTGCGGGGAATGTGCGGCTCCTCCTCAGCTGCTCTCCAACTTTCTGAATCTCTGCTCTCATGGTGAGAGAGGACGCAGAGGATGGGAGTAACCTGGTCCTCCAAATGCCTCGCTCTGTTCCTCGCGCTCCACATAGGTGAGTCCCACACACACACACACACACACACACACACACACACACACACGCACACACACACACACACTCCTGTTTAAAGTCGTTTCCAGGAGCAGGAGCTGTCTCTTGGTTTTATTTACTGATTATTTAAAATGGAAGAAATATTTAGTCTTTTATTTTCTGAATCCAGCAGCAAGAAAAACAAGTTTTCTTTAAATAAACTGTTAAATTTTCTTTATTTTTGTTGTTAAAAGCTAGAATTGTTTTTAATGATGTGAATTGATTTTATAATCCTGGTTAATGTGGCTGCTGTCACATGTTCCCGCCGCGTAATGAAGCAGCGGCTCATTTTAACGGGGCTACACTTCACATTGTGTGTGTGTGTGTGTGTGTGTGTGTGTGTGTGTGCGTTAACAAGGGGAATGCCCCCCCCCTCCCTCCTCTCCCTCCTCTCCCTCCTCACCCTCCTCCCTCCCTCCTCTCTGCGCCTTCCTTCCCAATCTGGAGACATTTGTTGAATTTTTTTCACCTTCAGAAACCAATTTCAGTTTTTTCCGGATCAAATAAAAACGCTTTTATTTTGGTTTCAGTTGGATTTTGCGGGTTTTTCTTTGCGGTGTTGTGAAGGAGAAAACGTCCCATTAAATGTCTGCAAACGCGTTCAAACACCATCCGGAGCTGTTTTCTTCCCGGTGTGTCGGCTGTGCGGGATCCGCCGTTCCCGCCGCAGTGTGCGGGGCTGCGGGGCTGCGGGGAGGCAGCAGCACCGTCACACCCGCAGCCCCGCAGCCCCGCAGCCCGGGAACCAAAATAAAACCTCCTGATTCATTTTTATTTTTATTTCAGATCTTCTTCTGCTCTCATAAAAAACACAGGAACGAAAATTCTCCTTCATTCATTCATTCATTCATTCATTCATCTCCTCCACTGTTCGCGCGAACCCCGCTTCGTGCACGACGGAAAACACGAGATTTTATTTTTATTTGTTTTATTTATATTTTAGGTTTTATAATAAAAACGGTGAGTGAGCTTCCACACTGCACCGGTTCACTGCAGGAGGAAACCCCTCCGCGGGCTCCGTCTAATGTCTGGAACGGATTAAAATAAAATACAAATATGAAACCAGAGGACATATGGAGCTGCTTGTTGTTTTCTGCTGTTGCATAACGACGCTGTGGAGGAGGCTCTGTGTGTGTGTGTGTGTGTGTGTGTGTGTGTGTGTGTGTGTGTGTGTGTGTGTGTGTGCTATTGTTAGAGGAGAGAGAGGTTTGATATTCACGCTCCGGAGGCTCCGGGAGGCGGAGAGAGAATTTAAAGAGAAATAAATAGAATAAATAAATAGAAAAAGAGAGTTTGTTTCTGTCCGGACAAATAACTGCGGATTATTTCACACTGATTATTACATTGAATCCATTAATTAGTCTGTTACACCCCCCCCCATCCTGCTTTATGGTTTTATTCCAGTGCTGCAGTGTGATTGGCTGCCGGAGCTTTGGCGCGCTGCTGCGGCGAATTCACGACCCAAAGAAATGATTATAAACCTGCAAATGAAAAAGAAAAAATAATTTAAATGATCAAAATAATCGAAATGTGAAATCAAACTGAGACTTTGTGTAAAAAGCAGCTGAGTGTTTGAACTCTTCAACGTTTGTTGGAATTTGTGCGTTTTTTTGGTTGTTTTTACGCGCGGTGCCTGGTGGGTGTGTCTGTGCGTGTGTGTGTGTGTGTGTGTGTGTGTGGAGGTGGGGTGAATGAGTGCGAGATGGGAGGCGTGAAGGAAAAAGCTGTGCGCGTCCCCGTTGGTGCGCGTGCGATGGGACTGTCCCGGTTTCACTCAAACGAGAATAAAAAAAACCCGCGAAATGAGAGAAGAAGGAAATAAATAAAAAGAGGATGAAAATGTTTATTTTTAAAGGAAGAAATAAAAATATCAAACACGATTTATGGAGAAAGAATTGAAACAAAAACGAATAAAAACGGAAGTTTAGAACAAATTAATGAAACAAAATCAAACATTAATATTTATTTTAGGGAAGAATAAAAATAAAATGAACCAAATAATCTTCAGAATCCTCTCAGTGCTCACTCGGTTTCATATTAATAATAATACATATTTATCCATCTGAAGGAGAAATGATTTGGAATCAGATTTATTTGATTTATTAATAATTAAAATGAATCTCAGGGGCTAGTGAATGGGGGGGTGGGGGGGGTGACATTGTTTGGAGCTGATTGGCCCGTTTTATTTAAATAAATAAATAAATAAATATAAATGAAATAAATAAAAACGCTGCAGAGAGAAAAGCATCATGTTTGAGATGATGTAATGCCACCTCCATACAGTGGTAGAGAGACACCAGGACAAGCAGTGGAGAGAGAGAGAGAGAGAGGGAGGGAGGGAGGGAGGGAGGAGTTTTTTACTCTCATTCATCCACAGACTGAATATTAATACACAGATATTAAAAGACATTTTTACAAATACAGAGAAACTGTAGAAAAACAACAAAATAAAAGCAGCTGAACCAAAACTCATTTATTATTATTATTATTATTATTAACATTATTATTGAGTTTTAATCCTATTTTATCGTTTAAATACACGTTTCTACCATCAAAAGAAACAGTTTGTTGACATCATGTCGCTGGTTTTCTGTGTAATTTACAGTTTGTAGTATAAAACGACTTTATTCCGTATAAATCCTTTAAAAATGCTGCTTAAATAAAGTTTTACCGTTACAGAAACTGTATTTAACCTACAGTTTAATGTCAGTTTACAAACATTTTTTTTTTTTTTTTTACAGTGCAGCAAGAAAACTAAATTAGCATATTCATAGATTCTGTGATTTTATAATGAGGTAAATTACTTTCTTTATGGTTTTAATGTGGAAATTCTACTTTATTTGGACACACGTTGTTTTATTTGTCTTAATACGCTGAAATGCAATAATTTATTTTAACATAAAGTAACACAAACTAACAAAAGATTCCTGATTAAGCTGCTTTTATTAGTGATTTTAAGCCACTGCTTCCCCCAACGAGACCCCTTTTCTTTAATGAATTAAACTGACTCAGTCACATATTTTATAGATATTTAACATTATATTAAAAACTGATCAATGAATCCAAACTCAGTAACTGCAGGAGGTTTGTGCAAAACCAGAGATTTGGAGGAATTTTATGCAGGTTATTTCCTTTTTTAGGGAACTTTTTATACAATTCGGTCTGTATTATATATGTTTTAAATATTTTTTAACATTCAAAAGACTTAATAAGCTTCTTTATGGAGAATTTACGTCACAATTTAAGTTGTTTAGCCTTTAAATCAAGAAGGCCTCAAGATGACGACAGTAGTGTTTCAGAGCTGGTGGCGGGGTCCACCAGGGGAGCCGAGCTGTACAAGAAGACACTAAAAACATCAGTTAATAAAATAAAATGACTTTATTATTACCATTATTATTATATTATAACATATAATCTTTAAAAATATACATTATAACATATCTTATTGTATATTGTCAGTGGGGGTTTTTGGGGCTCTGGCATGGAAACATTTGGGAACCCCCGTTAATAAAAGCATGGAGGGGATCTTTAAGCATTAATACTTAATTAATATATATTTAATACAGAAATAAATATATATATATTTAAAACTATACAGCTCCAAAAAACATCAAGAATGTTTAATAAGGTATATTAAATAACAGAGGATTCATAAAAAATCAGCTTTAAGACACAATAAGAGGAACACTGATGTAATATTACAGAGAAAGAGCATTAAAATCATACAGAGTGACACAATATGTGAATATATGTGATATTATGGGATATAATACAGACAAAGGGGCTACAGTCCCCATGAATATTTCTCTTGATCCGCCCCTGAACCTGAATATATAAACATTACTCATATTTAATTTGATAATTAATTTTGAATAAGCAGTAAAAAGAGATTCACCTATAAATCGATATGAGGAAACAGAGGAAATATAAGAGAAGGAGGATTTATTGAAATATAATATAATATCCATAGGTATGTTTTCATTTCTGTTTAATCACCTGTAAATAAGAATCGTTGTTGTTACCTGAGAATGAGACGTTTTTATCTACAGAGGGAGGGTTAGTCCTCTTCTGGCGGAGTCTGCCATGTTTCTACGGTAGCCCAGTGGCGAGTTTCATACGCAGCATTTCTCCAACAATGTGTGAACGGAATTTATCTAAATAAAGTCAAAAATGCTTTAATTCTTTTTACAAATGTTGAATTTACTCAGTTTTCTTCCACTAAAGCAAATTATTACTTTACCTGTCAAAACAGCTGACGTACAATAAAAACGTTGGTTTTTTTAGATGCATATTTGGGTTCATAAAGATTAATAAACTGAAATATAAACTAGAACTGTGATATCCTATACAGCATTATAATGATATAAAGTCAACTTAAAGAAAATGAGTCAAATATTTCACACCTTTAAGTTCACTCAAAACATCTGAGTTGCTTCAACAATTCATTCTGATTGACTTTAATTTGTATTTCATTTATTTTTGTTAACAGGTTTTACAGTGTTATTCGTAATATTTATGATGTTTTTCTGTTTTAATTGTAACCATAAAAAGTTGCAAATATTATAGAAAGAAAAACGTTTTTCAACAAAATCTGGAGATTTGCATAATAGACCTTTTTCACAGCAACAATTTCAACATGTTGGGTAAACACAGACGTTACCAATTAACTTTTTGTTCTAAATACAATGTGTGTGTGTGTGTGTGTGTGTGTGTGTGTGTGTGTGTGTGTGTGTGTGTGTGTGTGTGTGTGTGTGTGTGTGGAGTTAGAGGGCTTCAGGTCAGCTCAACCTCCCACCAGGTGCATTGTGGTTATTCAGTTATTCATTATCCTTCCCTCTTCCACTGCACACCGTCTTCCAGAGGCTGTGGCGGGTTGTATTTTAAAGCTAGAGTGAAGATAGCATCCATCGGTACCAACCATGTCATGCTAGCGTGTTGTGAAGGAGGCTCGACAACGCTTTAGGTTGGGCTACATTTTGGTGATGGAAAAACTGGCATGGCCGTTCTCAAAGGGATCCCTCTGACCTCTGACCTCTAGATATCTGAATAAAAATGGGTTCTATGGAAACCCCCTTTAAGATAATCCCATGCAGTGTTTAGCATGTGGTATAAATGTGTTATTTCTGCCCACAATAAGTTCCACATGAAGCCGATATTGAGTAACAGACTCTCTGGATACGACCCGTAGAAACAGATATGGGTTTTCTGTGTCGTGTTGCAGGCAGGATGAATGGATTTCTCCCCCTCGTCCTCCTCTAACAGCCGTGTCTCGTCCTACACGTCATGCTGTGTTAGTCCACAGTTTGATCGAGTGGAACCGGACAGCAGGCGTGTTATTATCCAAACCAATCAATCAGCCCCATCCCCTGCTTAACGAACCACGAGCACACACACACACTGAGTTAACAGAGGTCATGTAAAGGGGCGTGTGTGTGTCGTGTTAGTGCACGTGTGTGACTGGCTGAGGAGGGGGGATGGAGGCGTGTCAGACCTGGCAACCCGCGCAGTGTTTTATGGTTGAGTTAAAGAGAATTAGGGAGGAGACTGACACGGCCTGATTACAGCGGGTTGAACACTCTGAGGTCATTTTACTGTCAGGAGATATTTTCATCAGTTTATCAGCATCATCAATATCAGTTTTATTTAATTTAAGTGGAGAACTTTATTTTAAGATTCATTCATCAAGAAACAATCAAAACTGAACAGTTCTCAATAGTTTAATTCCTGAACGGCTTCAGGACACAGTTAACAAAGTTTCTCAATGAATCTTGAACCTGATAGATGAGAGCAGCGATACGTCACTTTCAAAGCCAGTTTACGGTTTTATTTACTTTCCTAATCAACTAAGGACAGTAAAAGAAAAGATCTGTGGCTTTAATCCACAGAGAGGGACAGTCAGTGAGTGTGTCTGTGTCCAACTCTTCCTCACAGGTTAGTTAATGACAGACAGTCAGTGAGTGTGTCTGTGTCCAACTCTTCCTCACAGGTTAGTTAATGACAGACAGTCAGTGAGTGTGTCTGTGTCCAACTCTTCCTCACAGGTTAGTTAATGACAGACAGTCAGTGAGTGTGTGTGTGTCCAACTCTTCCTCACAGGTTAGTTAATGACAGACAGTCAGTGAGTGTGTCTGTGTCCAACTCTTCCTCACAGGTTAGTTAATGACAGACAGTCAGTGAGTGTGTCTGTGTCCAACTCTTCCTCACAGGTTAGTTAATGACAGACAGTCAGTGAGTGTGTGTGTGTCCAACTCTTCCTCACAGGTTAGTTAATGACAGACAGTCAGTGAGTGTGTCTGTGTCCAACTCTTCCTCACAGCTTAGTTAATGACAGACAGTCAGTGAGTGTGTCTGTGTCCAACTCTTCCTCACAGGTTAGTTAATGACAGACAGTCAGTGAGTGTGTCTGTGTCCAACTCTTCCTCACAGGTTAGTTAATGATGTTACTGAGTCAATGTGAGCAGATTGTGTCTGTAGATTGAAGAGAATCAGAGTCTCACTGATGGTGGAAATAAAGGTTTTACTTCCTTAAAACAGCCGTTTTTTGAATGGAGTTTGGTGTGACAGTGTGGAGCAGAGGGGATTTGAACCTTAATAATTCCCATAAACTGAGCTGACCGACCTTCTAATAATGAACCTTGGAAACAGCAGAAAGTAACAGGAAGTGATCTCCACTTCCTGGTTAGTTTCTCTTAAATAATGAGGCAATTCTTTACATTTTTCTTTTGTTAAAAGAAAAAATGTTTGTATACTTTTGTATTATACTTTGTTTCATTGCGCAAATAAACTAAACAGCGTTTGTTCAGGTTAAATTAGTTGTATTAGTGACACTTCATGTCTCTCTTTGCTGTTTGCTGATGACACTTTTATCTTCCCATATGAAGTTTATACAGTTGTTTACAGTACAGTAGTATACAGCATAATGTCCTCTGGATATATGTATATATTAGAAAGTTATTTCCTAGATCCAGTGTTTGGGAGAAACATGGCGTCCTCGGTAGAAGACGACCCGCTCCCTCTGTAGATAAAAACGTCTAATTTTAAGAACGATTCTTATTTTTAGGTGATTATACATGAATTAAAAAGTTGAGCAAGGTTCAATTTCTTTGCAGACGACACAACATTTTATTTTTGTCGCCTCTGTGTCAAAATATCTCTCATTCTAAGGAAACAAAAACACTACAAAGCCTCATCATCAGGTGATAATACACTGATGATAACATACCATGAATATTATATTACTTCTCAATGTTACACACACTGGAGCTTTAAGTCATGTTAAGCGCTGATAAAGTTCCTCCACCTGTTTATGTCAGAATAAGATGGCAGACATGTTTTTATCGGAATGAATACAACTTATATATGTAGAGGCACGTTTGTAATATGCTTTAAAAAAGTAAAATAAAAGTAATCATACGATAAAAACATTTACATTTGGAGGAATGTTGGCACTAATAACCTGATAAGAGACAATCAGTGTGTATCGATATGTGTCTTGTCCAGTTAGAGAAGGTTTAAAGTTAAACTGATAAATAAACTCTTTAAAATGGTTCCTCATACAGAAAATGTGGTCCTGATGGTTTGTTGTTTGTAGAAAACAGAACAGACTCAACCAATCAGAGGTCCATAACTGAGAAGCTTATTGTGATTTTCTCTAATGTGAAATTTTCTCTTCTTTCTCTCCTCTTCCTCTTCCTCTTCCTCCCCCCTGCAGTCTCTGTGTTGCAGACGGTGCTGGTCAGTGCTGGTCAATGTGACTCTGTGTTTAAAGGTTTCTCAGACTGTCTGCTTCAGTTGGGGGAGAACATGGCCAACTATCCCCAGGACCTGGACGACAGGGACAACCTGCACAAGATCTGCCAGTAGGTTCACGATATCTCAATATATAATATTATATATATATATATAACATCGTATGCTATATCAACAGAGGACTGAAAAGACTAAATATTACATAGTTAAAGGTTATATATGTAAAAATCACTTGCCAGTAGATGTTGCACTAGAGAACCAGCAGCTGGCCCACCAGATTCCATTGACAAAATCAGTAATTTTACATTAAAGTGGACAGAAACAGAATAAAACTCATTAAAACGTCTCTGTTAGTGTTTCCAACAATCACAAACTCTGGTTTGGTGGAAATAAATCCTTAATTCACCGACGTAGATGATAAAAACAGCAGTTTCAGACCCAACTCTTCCGTTCACTGAGCTAGAATTGGTTTTCAGGACCATTGAATGGGATTGCTGCAGCTTGCTTGGTGTTCCTGATATTCGTCCACCCTCTGTACTTTCTAGCAGTGATTTTTGTTTGAACATTTCTCCTGCCTACCACAGTCAGGGAAATAAAGTGTACAGTAACTGTTAAAGTTATCCATCATCCATCATATCGATAACTTAATCATGATAGAAAACCAGATTTTTTGGGGGGGAACATAAACCTTTTCATCCTCTGTTAATCAGTGTCGGACTAGTTTAACATTTAATTCATTACTCTTTTAAAAAGTAATATTATTGCTTTACTGCTAACAGTAATCAGTTACTCTAGTAGTCATATTACTTTTCTGCTACTCCACACAAAACTGGTAATTGTGTCCTTTCTCCCCAAAATGATGACGATTGATCGAAATCAAAATAATATGAATCTTTCAAACTACTTTCTTCCACGATCATAAAACTGGAGGTGTCTAATAACATCACTGGCATTTATTAGGAGTTAGTTACAGCACTAGTTACTGAGGAAAGTAATAATCAGAACAAAAGCTCACACAGGAAGTCGTCTCTGAATCTGACTGCGAAGGAGAAAATAATCATATGAGTGATTAACTGCAAACCCTGAGGGGGGAGACGGAGGGTTCGGGGGTGCAGTTGGTGGGTGTGCATATGTGCAAGACGGGGGTCTTACTAGCCAGCTGACCCCCCACCCCCCAAAGCCCCTTTTATCCCCTGTTCACCCCACCACCCAAACCGGGTGGGCACCAGATGGCACACTGCAGCAGGAAGCTCCCCCCCACCCCTCCACACACACACACACGAGTTTTTAATTCAGTGACAGCTCCATCACAGCGGTGTTGAGGCGTGGCAGGAGGGACGCTTTAATACGCCTCCTCACACACACACACACACACACACACACACACACACACACCCACACACACCCACCCACCCACACACACACACACACTCACACACACATGCGTTAATTGCTCAGAGATGTAGCATCGACACGGCTCGGTTCAGGAGGTCAACATCAATAAGAGCAGATTGGAAAATTGGATTAGATACGCTGTGTGTGTGTGTGTGTGTGTGTGTGTGTGTGTGTGTGTGTGTGTGTTTATGTGTGTGTGTGTATGTGTGAGTGTGAGCACGCGTCGGTGAGCAGGCTGGTGTCGTCTTTACATTAACTGGGAGGAGGAAGGAAAGAAAAGATGAACAGACGAGACTAAAATGAGAGTGAGACAAAGAATAAAATATAAAAACGTTGGTGGAAAACTCACAAATATGACAATAAAAGACTGTAAACTGTAAATAGGTTAAATACAGTTTCTGTAACAGTGAAGCATTGTTTTCTTGTGATGGTAAAAACTTGTATTTATTCTGTAAATTCAACAGCACTGATTTCCTTTAATAGTACAGCTGCAGCTTTTTTTTTAACCATAAAAAATAACCCTTTTTTTTACAGTGTAGTAAAAAGGAAGGAATAATTAGGGCAAAGAGAAAGTGGGATGAAAGAGATGTGAAGAAAAAAGGAGAGGATGAGGCGATGAATAAAACATCAGCAGAGATGAGGAAGGAGGAAGAGAAGAGGTCACTGGCAGAATGAAAACCATCTAAAGTAGATTTAAAAATATAAATCGATTTTACAGGCTCAACAACAGTGTTTAATAAAAGCTATACTAGATACATTCATTTTAATTTTCTTATTAAAAAACTGAATCTGTAAAGTAACAAATACAGTAAAAAAGTATATTTCTGTTACCTTACAATTGTTTTTAAAGCAGCAACAAGGAACTTTTATTTTGTATTGATTCTGGTTTCCACCGTCTTGTTTCATTGATTTCAAGGGGACATTAATTAATAATTACTGTAGAGAAATAATATAGTAATGTAGCTCATACAGAGAATTAGGAAAACTAACTTTCTCTATTATCATGTGTATTATTATGAAATATAATTTATAATTTAATATATAAAGTATCTTTTTATCTAATATCACGTAGCTAACTAGCTTGTTCTGCTAACTCACAGGAATTAACATGTTTTTTGACCTCTAGATGTCACTAAATCCTACAAACAGGTCCTTTAAAGTCAGATACTGAGTGTAAAATATTGGCCAATAAATCAACTATAATGTATATATCTTTAAATGTAGAATAATTCCCACGACCTCAGTGGTGGTAGCTTTGAGACGGCGGCTCATATGTTGTCCTCAGTATTTGTCTTCCTGCCCTACGCTCATGGAAAAGACGGTGCAGTAATATGCTCAGAGGCTCCACATTTGCTTTTTGTTTTACTGGAATATAAACTTTACCGGCTGTGTCTTCATAAGCTTTTTCCTCGCTGTGTTTTCTGTGGTGCCAGATTCTGGGACGACTTCCACTGTTGGCTCTGCCTCCTGAGTAGACGATGCATTCAGTTTTAAAACCATGCCTCCCACTGCAGTCATGAGCTTGGTGGTGCTAACGCTTGCTGTGTTTTCTCCTGCCAGTTACTGGGATAACTTCCACTCCTGTGCCACGACGGCGCTGGCCGACTGCCAGGAGGGAGCGACGGACCTCTGGGAGAAACTGAAAAAGGAGTCCCGCAACCTGGATTTCCGTGGGAGTTTGTTTGAACTCTGTAGCAGCGGCAACGGAGCCCCCAGATCAGCTGACGCCAGGGGCCTCGCCTTGGTCCTAACCACACTGCCCACCATACTGACTTGGCTGGCGTTTTAACAGAAACAAGGGAAGACATACAAAAAAAAAACACAAAGTGAAAAGAAGAAAAAAACAAGAAAAGAAAAATAGCAAAAAAGAGTGATAGCTGCTCTTCGATACAGAAAAAAACAACTCCAAACGGACTGAATTCATCACCTGAAAACACCCCAAATGGATTTTTACTACATCACTATACGGCGGCACGGTTTGCCTTCCTGGGACGTCTGCAGGCCGTCCTCCCGGAGCGCTCATCCAATCACACGCTGACCTGACCCGGAGGTCGATAACATGAAATATTCAAGGTGCGGTCGAGCCGAAACGATGACAATGATGAAAATTTGATGGATCCTTGCCCGCTTACAATCGTGGAATTACACAGTATTAAAGTCAACCATGAATTATTGATGTTTAGTAGGCTAGGCCTAGACGGCGCTGTGTGACTGCTGGGTGCTGACACAGTATCGGGCTATATATTAGGGGTCCCGTATAGCCTAAGGTGCATATTCATGTGTGACGCGAGGCCACAAAATCAATAAGACAAGCCGAGGCCCAGAGCCCATGTCAGACCAGTCGCCTCATTTCCATCACGGACAGCTTTTCCTTTTTTTATTGCGCCAGGTTGACTGTGTTGAGCCCGGTACGTTTGATGGACCGAATGCTTGATGGTGATGTAATATTTGTGTTCTTATTGGCTGTTTATTGTGCTCAGGCCACGGTCACACCAGCTTTTATCACAAGTCCGTTCTGCACAATGCCGCCCTGAACAGGTGAACTCCTGCAGGTAAATATGTGGCATTGACGAAAAAAAAAGCAATGACAGTATTGACACGTGCAGCATGGCTTGCAGTCAGTGTGCCAGCGGTAGGTGTATTTTAAAATTTATAGCATTTAATTTTGGTTGTTCAACTGGCTAGCTCGCTAACCTCGCTAGCTACCACGTATAAAATCTACGCCACGTGAAGAAATCTCGCTCTGCCAGTTCCTGGTGTGACCGTAGCCTCGTTTTCCCCCCACCAAGCTCTTTAGGCGTAGGGGTGTCGTTGAGAGTCTGCTTTTCATTAACGAACGGTTCAGAACGGTGTTTAATAACATGACGTCAGTTCAGACAGAACGTTTCAGGAAACGAGCACAAACTGTGAAATGCTTTAATGAATTCAATCCTGCTGAAGGAAACAGCAGCAAGGGACTGGACCACCAGCGTAATCCACCATGTCTGGTACACAGGTTTCAATCTGACCCCAAATCAACCCCCCAAAACACTAGCACTATCGCTATGCTAATATTGGTATCTGTGTCCTGGTTGAAACAGATTGGTTCGGATACTTTAGCAGCAAGAATCAATCGATCAATCGTTTACAGTTCAGTACAGCAGCTAAACCACATTAAGGAAGGTTAGCTAACAGTTTGATTTAGCTAATCTGACCTAATCTGGTTTGGCAGCTAACAGTTGGGTTCACAGTTAAATAAGATGGCGTCGGTTTAGCGAACCACTAAATCTTAAAGTTAAACCTCAAAGACTTCCTGGTTCCATCAATGAAAACCTTCCTTTCAAAATAATAATTGTGCTCATTTCCTGAATTCCCACGAGAACAATTTAAAGTCCAACTGCTGTCAGCCTGACGGAAACTCTTCAAGGATCTTTTTGGGACGTGAAAGTATTAAAACGCGTTATAATTAACTCTAAGTTCACGTTGGTGGTTGATTTCCCACCGTTCTCCTGTCCCGCCACGCCCCCCCGCTCAGTGCTAGAAATGAATGAATCTGTGAGCGAAACGGTCACCGAACGAAAGAAACGCGATGTTCTGAAAAGCCGACAGCAATACGAAGATGTGACTTCATGGCCAGTGTAGCTAAAAAAAATCAAACCGTGGCTGAAGAGTGATATGACTGTTGCCATTTAGCACATCCCCCCTTTTCATACGCCCGTGATTCATACTAGACGACCTTAGAGGTGATATATTTTAGGTCTGTATGTTAGATTAAAAAGCCCAACAGTGCAGTAGCATCATAAACTACATAAATACAGTAAATAAATTGGAGGTTTATTTCGAGGCGCAGATGACGTTTCCACTGCCTTCTGACAAAAAAGATGTGTACTTTTGTTTGTTTGTTGGTTTGTCTCTTTGTTTGTTTATGGGGATGTTGCGTAACAAAAAGAGTTTTAAAAAATGGACTTATTCCAAAAATCATCTAACAAGAGAATATGTATATCAAAGGATTTTAAGAAAATAAAAAAGCTCTATTATAGATAGTCTATCCCAGACAGTTTTAACACAAGATTGATACTTTACAGATTATAGGCCTACTGAGATATAAAAAAAATAATGAATAAAAGATTGCTAAAATGATAAAGAGTAATAAATAAAAATGACTAATGTTTGAAAATAAGTGTGTGCTTTTATTTTTAAAATGTGTCTTTTATCCACTGGGTTTGTTGCACTCCAGATGATGGACACACACACACACACACACACACACACACACACACACACACACACACACACACACACACACACACACACACACACACAGAGGGTTTGGATTGTATTCATTATTAATAAGGGAGAGTCCCTGAGCTGCCACACGTCTCAGCACTCAGTTCATATTGATCGAGACGAAGAGGAGGAGGAGGTGGAGGAGGTCCTGATGTAGAAGATGTTTGTTCAGTCTAACAGGGATAATCCAAGACTCTTAAACCTCATGAATTTGATCTTAAATTGCATTAAACACCAAATAATTTATGAAATCACAGATCAGATTTATGACTTAAGTCAAAATATTGAGACATTTTCCAATTATTTTTGATATGAATTCATTATTTTGAGATAATAAGTATAAAATATTGATAAAGTTTGTCATTATGATGACTTACAGAATCCTCTTCCTCACATTGGGCTTCCATATATGTTTCCTCTCTTGTTTTTCCCGATATGATGTTTTCTTCCTGGTCTGCAGACAGCAGCCGTGCTCTCACATCACATCCATATTAATGCAGAAACACGCAGTGCATTTCCCCCCGGGAGCCAGCAGCACGCAAACTGCAGCTCTGATGAAAATCTGCATGAGCTTCATTAAACCTTAATGAAACTACACAGCTATAGTATGACTGAATCTCTCCCTGTAAACACTGTAAAGGAACATTAGACATTAATACAACACAAGGCTGGAAAAACACCAAACATAGGTTTTTATCACCAGAAATATTCCAGCAAGATTATAGTGACAATATAAGACATATAATGTGGTGGTGACATTACAGGTAAATGCCTATAATAAAACTGTGAGAGGGTGTTAATTACATTACATTATAAAAGCATTATAATTAGACAAATGATAAGCTTAAGGTGTTTAAAACGTCGTTCTATAGATGCACTACATGTGGAAGCCCATTTCTGTCAATGTGATGGGAGAAATGGATCCTGTAAGAAATCAAAATATCATTATCTTAAAATAATGACAAACATTACATTACAACATTACAATACTAAGTAATTATTTCATCAATATAATGAAAAAACCAACAACTGCAGACACAAAAGCAGCTGCAGGAACAAAGTGTGATATCTGATGAAATAACAATCATCCTATAAAGTGATATGATGGATTAAATATAAGTGTTAAATAAGTGTTTTGTTGACATGAAATCGCCTGTACAGTGAGATATAAAGGTTGTTTTAAGCTCAGTTGTGCACGAAGGATGAGCCATGTAATCTATCTTCTATTTGAAATCAATAAGAGACTCAAATATAAAAACACAACCAGAAATATTGTATTTTTATGGCGCCATAAAATGTAAGATATCATAAAATCCACTCACCTCTATGAATAATAGTATAAATGATAATATCACAGTGATAGAAAGCTCATTTCAAATTCTCAACATTTACCTATTTTTCTTTAATATGTGACAAAAAGATCTTTAAAAATCAATTATTATACAAATACTTAAAACATATGAACACAGAAATAAAACACATTTCTGTGTTTTAATCATTTTAAATACATTGTTATAAAGCAGCAAAACACAGAATAATAATAATAATTCCTGGAAAATAAAATAAAAAAATCCTGAGAGGCAATTATCGCCTGTAGGAAGAAACAAGAGCAGGCGAGATTTCTGGCGAGCGGCTCATTAAAAATGTATGTAGGGAAGCCTGTGAGATGGATGAGGAACTCCCGCGGGATTCTGGGAGACTTCGAGCAGTCTAACCCTGTTTTTCATTCATTCAGTAATCTGTCAGCATCTATCACTAACAGAACAATGTGAACAGGAGCCACAAGACTTCATTTGTTTCGTGTGATATTACTATTTGAGTCAGAAACTGATATGTGGTCTGGATAGGGAGGTTCAAACTGGGGGTTGGGGACCAGCAGGGGCCACCAAGGAGATTTTCATTTTTACATTTTCTTCATGTGGATCTGAAATTTTCATAAGGAATATATATCGAACATATTAGGCCTATATAAAATAAGATTAATTGTCCAGGTGAAATGAAAAATGTCATTTCAACCCTTTAAGATCTCATCCTCAGTTATATTGTTCTACTATTTAACAATGAGTCACATTGTGTCAGTTTCTTTGTATTTTTATATCAGAATCCAGTCATTGTGTCTTCCTGTTGAACTAAATGTGACGCGTGCTTACGTCAGCATGGACTAACTGATTTCAACCAGTAATATCCTGACATCCACCCGCCATTAACTAGTTTATGCAGCTAACATTAGCTGACTTAGCACTGGGTGGCAGGAGCCCAAACCAGCAATATAAACACCTCTGTACTTTATTCCCTGATCTCTGACCTGTTCGCTTTAGTCTCTTAGCATTCTACGATGCTATGCTATCATGCATCCTATGTTGCCATCAGGTGCATATTTACTACAAATCTGCCTAAAACATTAAAAAGTCAGTGACAGCTGTTTTCAACATGGAACTTACATTAGCTTAATTAGCTAGCTCGAAACAGCTGACAGAATTGCCAGCTAGAAATGAGAAGCTTCTTTTGTCAATCTGTCTGAAATCAAAGACCCACAAATTGGTAAAACTGTCACATTTCTCTTTGTGTAAACTGCATCACGCTGTTCGAGAGCAGGAATCTTGACAGGCGTAGCAACAACAGTCAACTCCTCCCAAACACTGCAATGAGTGACATTACCAAACAGAACACCGGCTGCAGAAGAGTCTGACTGAGAGACACAACCACCAGAAAAGTGGATTTATAATAAAAAAAGATGTTTAATTAAGACGAGTAGCAGCTGCAATGTACCAGCTGTACCAGACGGCTGCTGAATATCACTGAATATCTGGATTCAAGCAGCGAACACAGGGTGTGTGAAGGCTATCTTCAGGGACACATTTCAGACTAAAGATCAGTTAATTGAGGACAGCTTGTCCAACTGGAGACAAAAGCTGTGTCCCCAAGTAGATTTTTGGGTCCGTGGAGTTTAGGGTTATTGAAAGTCAGCAGGAAATGAATGTACGTTGCCAAAAGTGGCATCAGTAACCGTGTGTGTGTGTGTGTGTGTGTTGGTGGGAGGTTGGTGGGTGTCAGACGGGAAATCTGCCAAAACCCCAGAGAGGTGTCACTCCGATTTTTCCCATTCGCACATGTGATGAGGCTGCAGTCACACTCTGATGATCCTCTTTTACTGAACCGAAAATATCAGTGGACCTGAATAGATGAGAAATGGTCTGAGTCGCTCCAGTCTGAAACCTCTCTCCACATTCATTAATGATATCCTTCATGCTGTTAATGACGCCCATAATTATTTATATGCAGATGATACAATCCTTTACATCACTGGCCCATCTAATACGTTATTGGAATAGTTTTCTTCAACTACAGACGGTTTTTATTCATCTTTAAATAAACACTGCCGGGACTAAATATGTGGTTTGATTCACCTTGAAGATTACCAGTAGAAAGGGAACCATCCTGGAGCAGGTTCCGGTCTATAAATCACCATGTTGAAGCAAAAAGAGGTGTTTTTGCTTGTTTTGGCTGCTGCTAAGTCAGCTAATATTAGCTGCAAGAACTAACTAGCTAATGGCAATATAACTGAGGATGTGACCTTAAAGGCTTAGAATGACATTTTCCAATTGACTTAAAAGGTGTTTTTAATGATACTTGTAAATGTTACACTTTTCTGCTTTAAGTGTCTTTATTGTAAATAAGAAATTCTACTTAATGTCTAGCCTGGTAAAATAAAGTCTGAATAAACAAATTATAAAAACATCAGGGACATTTTACACATGTGAAGCAACTGAAGGTCTATTCTCTTTAACGTCCATTAGGAAATCTATCAGGAAACAATACAATAAATTCTGTGTTTGCTTGTTTTTCTAACAATATTTACTCCTCAGTTTAGTTTGAATTCAAAATGAATTACAACAGCAGAGGAATCATTCCTGCCAAATTACTGATTCATTATTATCTTAATTAGACTCTATTATTAAGTGTTAAAGACCAGAAACAAGTTCTGATATGAACGGGTAGAAACACAACTGGACCCTCTGTTTCCTTACAGCAGCAGTGATGCATTCAGGGTGTTGGTGTGGGAAAAGTCACACAGGGACCTTCTGAAAACGGAGACATTTAATTTCTGAAATTTAAAACAGGCCGACAGCTCGGCCTCTGTGAAGGCAGGAACCTAAAATAACATCCTCTGTCTTCTTTGGGATTTCAGCTCCTGGTGTAAATGGGGCGGATATGAGCCTGCGTTCCCTCCGGAGGACTCCAAAACAGTATTATGTGAGAATCAGTGGGGACTGGAATTGAGGTTGTGAGCCGTGACGGTCGGATGGAAAAGGCCGGACGCCATAAATGTGTCCGGCAGTCTCTCACAGCAGAGGGGGCTAAAACTGAGTTCGCCAATGTGTAAATGGGTCACAAGTTCTTACTTTGAGCTAACAGCCTAAATTTCAGCTGGAGGACGCTTCACAGAAGTAGATTAGTGGGTTGGCTGAGAGTTTCTGACAGCAGCTCTGCAACATTTCTGCTTCCAGAGGACTTCACATAAACTCCTCTCACTGTGCTCCACATCCTACAGGTTTGATTATTTTCTCATCCTGACGAGGTTCTCTTTTTGTTGGGCTGTGTGTGCTTTTAATCTGAAAACTACAAGTCACGTTTTGCCTCAAACTTGCATTTTCAGATCATTTTCTCAAATTTAACAATCCGTAGTTTCTGCCACTAGGGGGTCTTTCACATCCAAACAAAACCAATAACAAAAGAGGAAGTTTGATGATGTGATGAAGCAGCGTGGGATCATCAAACACCGAATAATCCCACGCTGTAGGACAGACAAAGGACGTCCCGGAGGGGCTGCGAGCCGAGCTGCTGCTAACGTTAGCTCAGCTTGTTTCTCTGATAACTTAAGATCCAGACGTC